AGTAGTCGAGTTTGAGAAGTTAGAACTATAAAAACTGATTAACGACGATGAGTACCTTTACGGGGTTGGCGTCATCAATCCAGGCGACCTTGTAGACTGCCTTAACCTCTTCAGCCAACCGGATACGAGCGCCAGTGTTGGCTGCAATGAACACCCTAGGGATGCCTAGACGCCGAGCCAGTTCACTGGCGCGGAAGAAGATTAGATCCTCAGCGGGTCCGAAGGAGCCAGCCTTGTGGGTCACGTCATTGGCGATCACAATGACGGGTCGACCTTCGGGAAATTCAAGTGTTTTCATAAGCATCTTCCAGACCACAATACCGACCTATTTGGATGAAAAAGGGGGAGGGGGCGAGGAGGAGGCAGTAAATGTAAATGTATGCGCGCTGCTGCCACAAATCGGTACAGAATAGGGGCCAGGACAAGCCCCAACAGACCTTATTTAGGCCGGCGACACGCTCTACGGGCACTAGTTGACCACTGTCACTGAGGCAGAGCTCTGTGCATTCCAAAATGTAGTCGCTGAAGGGTCTACCCGGCATTTCTGATTTCTCTGAAGTTGCCGTTAGCGCCGACTTCGGGTTCGGCGACTCGCCGCCTTCATTTTCCAACGTGAAGAGGACGGTGTTGGGTCTGTAGGTTTCCCAGTCATCTCGCAGAACCTGACCAAACAGGGCCGGGTAGTCGTAAACGTAGGCAGAATTGAACTTCTGCGCCTGAAATGGACAGAGCAGTGGCCTTTAGAAAATCGGATCGTTTAATTGCAAAAAGGTGTAGTAATGGGAGGGGGGGAGTTAGTCTCAGCTCTAAATACCACAATCAAACAACATCAGACAAATCAGGTGGAGTATCACGGGGAGGCTAAGAAACAGAGATACGTAAACACGAAATTCCCAGCTCTGACAGAAAGCAGTGGCTTTGTGTTAGAAGTAGCACCGCAAGGGTTGAAACCATCTATTTATCCAAAAAAACATAGACCGCCGAGTGGGTTTGTTAGCAAAAAGGTGATGAGACGGCTCCATGGGTGAGGCGGTTGGTAGCTCAACGCTACAAAAAATGAACGTTCGACTGCGGTGCAAGCAGCCTGACTAGTTTGCCAATCAATGATGCGCAAACAGCCATTATTAATAGAAGACGGTAAAGAACTTTGGCATGAGTATGTTGGTATTAAAAAACGTTAGTAATCATCCGCTGCAGGAAGAATCCTGAATCGGTTTAATCAAACGAACTGTCGGCTAGTCTGAGTCGTTCCTTATGTGACACTTCTCTGGCAAGCAAAGCGCTTAGTTTACAATTATTAACGGCTTCATCGTTAATCGACTTCGCCATTCACATGACAGTTCTACAATGGTAGAGTGGCAAACTCAATGACCAAAGGTCCCGGGGTTCGAATCTCAGGGGTGCCAACCCTTGAGATTGGGTATGACTGACTGATGACGGCTAACATGCCAGAAATTGTCATTACGGTCTCACTTTGCTCTTTCAGATCCATTCCATCCTATGCTCATAGTCGCTATGTGACTGCCTACACGTGTTCT